ACACACACACACACACACACACACACACACACAACATACACACACACGGGGAGGAGAGAGAGACAGTCGGCGAGCGCGGTGGAATCGTTCGTCTCTCCGTCTCTCCGTCACTCCGGCGTAGTATAAAACTAACCCCGATTCTCACCGGGGTAGACAGACAGACAGAAGCGTTGGAGTAGCCTAGCGTACGTGGTACTGGAGCTTCACCAAGCTGACTGAGCCACAACGCCACTGAGACAGAAGTTTACGCGCATACATACACACGCACGTATAAATACTGCACTCACTCGTACGTTCGTTCATCAGTTAGTACGTGCACGAGATTACTCCAAAAGGTTTTACGATGAGCGCTATAGTGTGATGCCAGAATGCAATATCATGCATCTTCATGATCGGCTTGTCTTGTGCGAGCGAACAGACCGTTCGGATTTCAGTTGATGTTTTCAGCACGTGTGTGCTGTATGGACTCTCTATTTCCTCAAAACACCGTGTAAGTGTTCAATGAACGTGTTATGAATCAGAACTCCCTACCGGATTTCTCAGAGGAGAAAACTGTACACTTAAATGTTCAACGCAGCTGTAATGGTAAGTGAAAATTAAACTCGTGTAGGCCTTAATCATTTTGTCACACAATTACACAAGTTCAACTATACTAGTCGTATGGGGCGTAAAATGCCAAATCAAATAATTGGATTTTATGGTGAAAAATATAGATAATTTAAATCAGTACCAAATATGTGAAGTAGACGCAGTGCATATTGTACATCTCTCTCTCTCTCTCTCTCTCTCTCTCTCTCTCTCTCTCTCTCTCTCTCTCTCTGCGAAGAAAAGCACCCATGCATGCAGCCGGACCTAATACTCTTGTGTTGAAAAAATATAATTTTATATATCCGAACATGTGTGTCACATTTTGGCTTAGAGCGTCGTCTCTGCTCCCTTACCTCATGTATCTCTTTCGGCCTAATTGTGTTGCAAGTGCCGCAAAATATAAATCTAGTTCGAAAACAGAAACAAAAAGAAAACAAGAAAAATGCAATCTTAATTTTATTTAAGGAATACTATTGTTATGAATGGCAGGACCGAAAACTCATCCGCCGCTTTCTGATTACTATGCACGTCAAACCTCGGAAGAAAACGTATTTTGTCTCGTACTGTTGGGGCTGTTTTTATTTATTTAAGGGGGGGGGCGGTTGTTTTTTCTTTTACACAAAAAGGAGGGAGACAGTCTTTGCAAACTCAAATTGAGAGCCCAAGAAACATTGATACACATGCTATTCAGCTTCAAGAAATCAATTTCCTCGGAGTATCCTGAAATTTTCTGCTGCAACCTCGAGGGAAAGGTTTCCCCGGTTGAAAATTGCTGGCGTAATCCAATATCTCTCTCTGCGCTTTTTGATTGTTTCTTTTTCTGTCTTTTTTTTTATTTGGTTGTTGTTTGTTTTGCGTTTTTTGTTTGCGTTCTCCTCTTACAGTTCTTTTTACATAATTTTAGATTGTATTTATATATCATTTTACGTATAGGTTTATTCGTTTATTTCATTTTATTTCATTATTTTATTTCATTATATTTCTTCTTTTTTTTTTCAATGTCTATGCAAGATTTATGTATTTCATTTTATTCCATTTATCTTAATACATGTGTCTACTCTACGTCATGTAGCATGTTTGTTGTTGTTTTTGCTTATAGTGTTGTTGTTATAGCTTGTTTGGGAGGGCCAAGCCGTTATTGTTGTTGTTGTTGTTGTTGTTGTTGTTGTTGTTGTTGTTGTTGTTGTTGTTGTTGTTGTTGTTGTTGTTGTTGTTTTAGATGGTTGGCGAGTGCTCTGGTGTAGTTTGCTCCTTTCCATTCAAA